CGTTACATAAGTGTGGATGTCCTAATTTGTTCTGCGCAGCCCGTAGCATGAATCGCGTGTGTGTATGTGTGTGTGTGTGTGTGTGTGTGTGTGTGTGGTATAAAACAGACGAGTTCGCCTACTAATATTCACTATTCTTAGCTTTTTCCTCTCAGTACCTTCCCCATCCCGTAGCGTCACGATTTCCATTGCGAATCTACCGCACAACCTCCCACCAATTGCGTTACTTCGCGTTCGATCGGAGCTTGAAACTACCTTGCATCTAACTTACTTCAAAATGTCAACCCTAACGCTAAAGCAGCTGTGAAGTTCAAGGATCATTCTACTTGGAAGGAGTGCGATGCAACTAGCTTCAGCTTTCGCCGGCTCATTGAGCCCAGCCACAATATCGGTCTATGACTGAACACTGCCACCAGGGTGCTAATGAACGCGCAACTATTTATGGCACCGTTTTACCACAGACTCATTGATATACTGCACGGGTTCGATCATTAATCGGGTTACAGCACGTGCCGCGTATTTCATTTTCATCCATAATTTCTGTGTAACTCAACCCATCTAATAATCTTATTATCTGGTTTCCAGCAGTGCAAAAACTTGAGTGAAAGCCGATTTGTTGTACTCACTTGTTTTTCGTTCAGTTTCTTTTTACTTAACAACTTTGTGGGAGGTTCAGATCAAGTGGCGATATGTCGAGCGTAGAATCGTTTGACGCCGCTGTGAAATGACTCCGAGAGCTCCGTACCTTGTATCTAAAATTATTCAGCCACTTGCGTCGCAGAATGTCCACCGAAACGAAATGTTCGGTCTCCACCCAAAAGTGGATGTTGAACGCCTGCTATCCCCAATGACATCTCCGAACTCAAAAGAAATGTTACCAAAGTCCCTTGCTCGGTTGCGGGCATGGTAGTTTAAGTCAAGACGATCATGAGCTTTACGCACCCATGCAGAATGCGATTTCAGCCCTGCATATGATAAGGGAATTTCTGGACAGCGTATTACGGTACTAAATGATGACGTTGATAGCTTTGGTCATTTTTTTCGCAGTGTCTCGGAGTAATGGAACTAGCCATAGTTGGCCACTTTGACGATTGATATAAACTGCAACACCCATTAAAGCTTCGAATATGGACAGTAAATCTTTCATGGTCTTCTCGGGCCTCTGGTGTGTGGGTTTCTTTCGTTGTTTGGAAGTAATGGTAGTGCTTTGTATGCAAGCTCCAGTACTTCTTTTTGCATTGGCCGATAGTCGACTTCACAACATCTCTAGCACGTTACAATGATTTGAAACCTCATCGCCTTTCTATCGGTTACAGGAATCCGTCCCCAGACCATGCACTTATCTGCATCCCAATCGTTTCTAACTGCGTCAGATGTCAGTACTCATAGTAGAGTCGGCCTCAGCACCGAAAACGATTCGCGGGATCATGAAAACGCGGAATTCTTCTTAAGTGCTATAGTTCGTCTTCATTTCTGTGAATCTTAATGCGGAGTATCTATCCATTGCCTTTTCGACTTTTCCTTTCACTTCAGCTTTTTCCGGTGGAATTCGATCTCGTGTTCAGCGCGACGCTCGATCGCTCTTAATTCTCACACGATTCCTTCTTTGACGTAATTGTCGGTGCGATGAGTGTGCTGGTAATTTGGTAAGCCAAGCGCACGAAATTGCTTTGAAGCCAATTGGGTGGATAGCCAGCAAAACCTCGGGGCGCTTTTGCTAACCTTCGCGATATCATTCTCTCCCTGAAGGGTAGTGTACAGTGCAGCTGTCTGTTCAACTCTCCTTTACGGTTGTGAAACCTGGCTTATCAGGTCGACAGACATAAGGAGGCTAGTCACGTTCGACCTCCGGTGCCTTTGCAGTTGGACTCACATCTAGTGGAAACGCCGCGTGAGCAACGAGCGTGTTTGATGCCTTGCTTATGGCGTAAGAAGATGAAGCAAACCTCTCAGCACCATGAATTCACGCATCAGGCTCTGATGGCTTGGCCACGTGTTGCGCATTCCAGCCCACCTTCTCCTGTGACGTGCGTTGTTTGCGCGCCCGGGTGCGGATGGAAGAAGAGGAGGGGTGACCAAGCGATGACTTGGTCCAGAGGAATGAAGGCCCTCACTTCGAAATTGGCCTCGATTGGAGCCTCTCGGCTTCCTTATTGGGGTCCGAAAGTCGATGAACACGTTCGGCTGGATACACTTCTGACATGGCTAGGAGTCGACCCAGGTAGCGATTGTTGTTGTTGTTGTTGTTGTTGTTGTTGTTGTTGTTGTTGTTGTTGTTGTTGTTGTTGTTGTTGTTGTTGTTGTGAGTTTCTTTGTCCCTCCCCATCCCTCTTAGCCTCCTCTCCAACCACGATCTCATTTTTTAGCATAAATTAAATTTTGCGTAATAAAATCTTTTTTGGCCACAGTAGTCCGCCGATAGCTTTCCGGTACGATGCCCATCCGTTACTGGTAGCCCAGCTGACGTGCATCTGTTGAATCTTTTTCATGTATTGCGGCACAGTAGCTGTGACGTTTCCTCTAGCTAGCGTGTATAATAATAACAATGATAATAATAATAATAAGAGGTGGATAGCCAGTCAGGCAACACCCATGTTCTTTCACAGGAGTCAACCGACTAGTTTTGATTGCGTGGGCTGAATGAGCAATTCGCTATCAGTTCAGCCTGGTGTGTATGAGGCGCATCATTACCCACATTCAAAGAAGGGTTGTGTTGATGGTGGCGAACAATAAGCTCGGACCGATAAAAGTAGCCTGTACGTAAATAACAGACTCATTTCGACCCTAATTTTGCTCGCGATCAACCTTACCCACCATTCCGTCGGTTCAGAATATTAGGGGTACTTGTTGATTGGATTTATTCTTGAAACTGCCCGATCTGCTTTCGATGGGAGCATACACCAAGCAATCGATCCATGATCCCCTGAACCAATGCTTATGAGTTTTGGTCGGACCTTGCGATCTTACCTCTTGTGTGCAGCTGCTCACTAAATATTCACTCGGCTACAGCTCTCCGAACGCTTGCTCTAGGAATTTAAACAAGGTATCCAGGATCATGCTAGACCGTTGCAGCCTTAAATGAGTGGAGGGATTAGCAACTGCGCATCTGGTAGAGAATGCACGCGATCAGTATCCTCCATGTGCGACCAACTCGTGGATGCTTAAGCTGTTCCATCTAAACCCAATCTACGCGTCAGTCGATGGTGGTGTGATGCTTCTAGTAACCGGCAAGTCGATAAGAGTTAACTGATGGGCACATCCCCTCCGGTTCTTCATCTTAGACTGTCAGCGGAGTTCAGTAACTCTACCTGCATTACATTACCTGTTCTTTACATCATCAAACCCTATTCCCCTTTGACTTTTATCGGCTGCGTACTTGCATTCATTTGTTTTTTGTGCACGCGCGCTTGCGGGTCATGCTAGATGTGTTCCATCCACACTCCGATGTCTTCCCGGTCTCAGAGCTCATCTTGACGGTTACTCACTTGTCCGGATTGCATCACTTCCAACCTCTATGCTTCTACTCCTCATCCAGTTATACAATACCTGTCGCTTTGCTCACTGCCCTATGAATCAATCCCTTGGGGTCTGAAGGTGCGAACATTTTCTCCCAAGTTAAGCAGCTTCCTTCAAATTACAGACTGAGCCCAATAGTTATAAGTCGCTGTGCACTATAACAGTAACAGACTGTCAGTTGTTGTTATGCATCTTCGGTAGTGTCTTGGGATCTTTTAGTGCGTCACCAGATCTGTGCTTTCGTTCCGTTTTTTTCTTTGTCAGGTGACTAGGAGCTTTAGTTGATGCACCTACAAAAAGTGCTAGTACACTCGAAGGAAACTTACCTTTGGAAAAATATGCCTGTATCTCATCTTTTCACTCAGCGAGTACTGCCAGCCATAAGCGCCATGTGTTAGTGGATTCCCGCTCACTACCACTAATTTTATTTGCACAGCTAGCTGGCCGAATCATCCTGATAACGGTTACAATATGCCCGATTTGGCGCTCATTTAAGGGTGTGCATGGCAGGAGGCGAGCGAGGAAAAATCACATTTGGTTCAGTCCATACACAAAGCTTTTTGTCACAGGATCGGTATGCCATACCCTTTACCGTTTGGGAACGGAGGAACGATGAAGAATTCTCTACCTCCAGCCGTTGTCATTCGTCCATACTGTGGAGACCTGAATACAGAAAACACTTGGGAACTTCGCGTGTCGCACGGTTCCACTCTCCATCTTGCATTTAGACTATATTATGGCTGTATTCAGAAGTATGCAAAATATTCATCTTTCCAGTAGGGGTGCATTCCCTTAAAATCTAGAATATGCATTTCTGTTCTTAGGCATCCTTATCTTTTCCTCCCCATCATATTACTTCTATAGAAACCCGAGGTGCAAGCGGAATTGTTTATTGTTTCACATAGCTTATACTGGTGCATCGGTTCTGACCAACGAAACGTCCACTTATCTTCGCACTCCCTGTTGCAGGTTGCATGGCGCGGGTTTCTTTCTGTGTCTAGTAGTTGTGTGGTTTTTATTGCTTATGTGTCCATTCCTAGTGCGTATACAGCTGCAGTTCCAAAGCGTTCCTTTCCTTTAGGGGAGTTATTGCGTCGTGCTATTAGTTGCTTGCTATTTCGCATCCTGGCCCTTCAATACTACTGATAACTGGCGCAGTGATGTTTGCCTCCAGCCCCCCACACTAGTTTTGCGAAACTTACCGCAGCACATATACCTGACTCCACAGCATATGAAGTCGTCATAGCCATGTGCTATGATCTAGGCTTAATACTTAAACTACATAAATGCGTTCAGCTTGATGTGACCGTTTTTCTCATACATCCCTTTAGCTATTCACCTCGAATTTTTCGTCTATTGACTCGTACTCAGGGACATTTTAACAACTCCCGCAGCCTCATTATGTGTTTTACCGCAGTTTCTTGCATTGTTCCTCCCAATTCTGTTTAACGTATGACCTTTCTCCTCCTCCGTTTCTCATACAGATGGCTTATGTGGTTGATCATGCGGGAGTTGTCCTCGATTGGTCAGATTGCCAACCCCCTGGTGTTGAATGTTGCACAGGGGTAGCTGACCGAATCATTCGTGCCCTACGCATAGACAGTCAGATGTTCCAACGCTGATCGTATATTTTGCATGATTTTCCCTAATTCCACGATTTTTTGTCACATTTCTTCCAAAAAAAATTCAGAATATTCTCTGCGCCTTTTTGCACTATTTTATTGCTACTTGCTGTCCACCGATAGTCGTAGCAGTGCTACAGCTGGGTTGGAGTTGTCATGAAATGTCCGTTGTCTCAGGTGGAAATACTCTCAATGTTACCATTAGGTTGGAGCTTTCAACATGAACCGTTTTCACAGAGCATCCTTCGATAAAATTTGCCTTCAACTTCCGGCTTGACTCGACCTGTTGTGACACTATATTACCTTAGTGTGCGCAGTGGTCAAAGGTTTTGGAAGTGTCCAGGTGAACTGTCATCTTTGAGGGTGACTAGGTGGGGACCTGTGATTGCACATGATCTAAAACTAGAATAGAGTCCAAGTCTATGCAGACTGGAAGCGGTTGACAACATAGGTGCATACTCTACTTAGACAGGGGAAATGAGCGGTGGAAATAAGGTTTAAGGATTTAAGCGATAATGCCTTCATCCTTGTTCGCTCCCACGATGATTCTCTTCTATCGGTTTTTCGCGACGGACGGATAATCAGAAAGCGCATAATGGTTACGCCATCACGCTTGAAATATGTTACCATACCTCAATTGCGTAAACAGTTTAACGATTTGGCTGAGACGGTTTCTTCAGTCCGCATGTTTCTGTGTGGCCCCTCCTATATACCAAGGCATGTGCGGCCATTCGTACTTCCGTTTCCGAAATATAGGGTCAGAAAATTGAAATTCTCGTATCCGACTCAATTTAAGTTTACAAGCTGCAACAAAGCCCCGGTTGACCTTACAGAGGATTGCGGCTGAATATCGCAATCTGCCAAATTTGAGACGTGACACCAACTTGATTGAGACTTCCGATCACACACGGAGCCCCAGCTTTGTCGCACACTTGCCAACGGTCGAAATGTGAACTTGGTGTGTCGAATTAGTGACTTAGTGAATTTAGCTAGGTGTTTAGGCTGAATAGGTAGCGCCAATGACTCATGCGTCAAACGGCCAGGTGTTGTCCCGTGTTGAATAGCGGGCTCGAGCAAAGATTGGATTTCGGCAATAGTACAGCGTTCGCCAAACTTCTTGCGGATTGTCAGGAGACTGAAGTGCGTTTCCAATACTGCTCAGTTACTTTACGAACATTCAATTGGCCTAATAGCCTTCCTGATTAAGGCCTATCGTGGAAGGTTTTGTAACTGTTCGACCAATGAGAGTTAAGCTTTTACGGGAAAACATTCGCGACCGCTCTGATTTGTGGGACTGATTTTAGCAATTGGCTGACTACCAGGTAACGAAAGAATGAAATGGCACGCCTTGTTGCTCCTTGGAGATGCAGAACGAGGCCCAACCAAGGGGAACTATTAGTATCAGGGTAAGCAGTACAGCTTATTTCCGTCATTCTGTCCCACATTTACTGTCCGGTTTTTGTGTTTGTATGTTTTTTTCGTAATCATATTGTGCTTCGTACTGAACCTGATGTTGCATACCTCACGCTACTTCACCGCATTTGGACTAAGCCGACTTACACTTAAACTATATCTTCCTAATCTGGATAAAAGTATTTCACCTTATTTGCTTTTCTCAGTTCCTCTATACTGCTGCGAATTCCGTGTCAATTTTGCGTATTTGTCTTCCTCTAAATTCTGTGTTGGTTGTTTGATATGGCCTTTCGGTTGATGTGAATATTTACAAAAAGCCTGTGTGTCTAACACTCTGTACCTCGATTACTGGCTCCAGGAGGCTACTAATCCTTGCTAGAGGAACAAGGTACACGGTCCTCGTGACTGTACTAAGCTCAATTAGTGGTTCCATGCGTCCAGTTTCCAATAGACTACTGCCTAGCTACCGCCTTATGTATATCTGGTACACATAATTGCAAAAGTAGATAGATAGGAGTGCTGCTGTTGTGCATGTTGTAGGAATGTGTGCCGGCTCCGTTGATGAAATGGGGCTTTCCATCCACATGCATCCCAGCCTTACTCTTTCGGGTTAACACAGGATATGGAGTGTGCGTGTTTTGCAGCACAAGCCACCCATAATCTCTGTAACTGCAGGCCTCCTTTGACTGTCCAATGAAGGGTGCAGTGACAAGCAAATCCGGAACCGGATGCCGCCAACCAAGTAGTATTGCCCGTGTTTACAAATGCGGTGCTTGATTTTCATCATACGAGATTGTTCTGTACTACTTAAATTTCGTTTTCTTTTGATTTTACTCAGTTGGAAGCCACAAGAACGAAGCAGTTGTCGTTTTTGATTCCTTCTTATTTTTCTCCACTTGAATCCAGCAGTTACACTCAACCTACTATTGCATGAAAACGTTGCCAGCACTACACTGCACTGATCACGGCAGTGGCAGGATGCGTTTGTCGGTTTTGGAATGAATTCCTCTCTTACACTGAACGGACATGATAAATCATTTTCATGTGACCTGATTTAATGCTTTAGCTAACCTCACTTTACCGTTGAGTCTTGAGATATTGGCGATAAGCGAATTAGATCGCAGCCCTTGTATAAGGGCTTTTCGTTCATCCACGAAATGGCGGTGCTGTTCATTAAGCGTTTATTCTCTTTTGGTTTTCGCTCGGTCCGTCGTTACCTGTAACAGCACCTTACTAAGTATCGAGGCTTCAATTCGCTCACCAAAGTCACCCCTGCACCACATTTTTATCGTACACTTTTGTGTAGGAAGTATCAAACTTCGTGAGGACTTCAGGCTAGTCGTTTGCTTCTCATCTATGTAACATACTGTTTACCCAAAAATTTTCCGATTTTCAGCAATTGATCTTTTTTAATTATCTACTGCATGTGCTGTTTTCAGCGTCAGCCCATCTCTTTGAGCACTCACGCGGCCTCCGGAGTATTAAAGATGGTCCAACATCATCCCGCCAATGTGCGACACATAAAAATCAGTGTCAGGTTAAATTCCACAACTCAAATGCTCCTGTGCTGATATCCTTCGGACTCTGTGACACAAAACTCACCGTATTCCTCGAACAAAGTAGTTCGGTTTTTGGGCCAATCACTTGTTTGCACTTGAACCTCCGAAGATGCGCTTATTGCACTTTGCTTGGTATTTACACCGTCAGTCAACTGACTAATACCTCCTCTGGAGCATGTTTCACTAAATTCCCGCCTGAGTGAGTAGGAATGCTACTAGCGCAGTACAAGACTAGGCGCTACATTAGCCAATACCCCCGTCTTTCAAAAGTGATGACCACAAGATCTGTCTGTGTATAATTGTGATCCAACTTGCCGAATGGCCATCATCTAGTAATTAGATTCCAAGCCGCATAGGTAAGCTACCAATCCGGAATCTAATTGCGGTGAACCAACTCGAATGACACTCAAATCCGTCTACTCACTACTAATCAAAAATCGAAACCCTGCCCGTATTCAAATTGCTGTATGGATTCACGGCGTTGGCAAGGGAAGACCTGAACGTGACGGCCAACCACTGTCCTCTGCACGGCAGTGGAGGACGTCTCGGGCTATATCGCAGTTAGGTTTCAATTCGTAATGCTCGGCTGTCGTCCCCATGGCTCAGTGGCATAAGCTGCTGGCTAGTTGGCGTTAGCCTCTAGTGGTCATGGGTTCGATCCCCAGTAGGGGACCGATGGATGCGCACCACTGACGAGTCCCAATAGGGCGAAACGCGCGTCTGGTGCTTTTCCGGATTGGTAGCTTACCTGCGCGGCTTGGAATCTAATTGCGATGAACCAACTCGAATGATACCCAAATCCGTCTACTCATTACTAATCGAAAATCGAATCTCTACCAGTATTCAAAATTGCTGTGTGGATTCACGGCGCTGGCAAAGGAAGACCTGACCGTGACGGCGAACCACTGTCCTCTGCACGGCAGTGGAGGATGGGTCGGACTATATCACAGTTAGGTTTCAATTCGTAATGGTCTGCTATCCTCCCCCATGGCTCCGTGCATTAGCTGCTGGCTAGTTAGCTTTAGCCTCCAGTGGTCATGGGTTCGATCCCCAGTAGGTGACCGATGGATGCACACCACTGACGAGCCCCAATAGGGCGAAACGCGCGTCTGGTGCTTTTCCGGATTGGTAGCTTACCTGCGCGGCTTGGAATCTAATTGCGATGAACCAACTCGAATCATATCCAAATCCATCTACACATTAGTATTCATAGTAGTTATCTAAGAGACGCCACAATTTAGCTTGCATCGCAGTCGAGCGTCTCTCTGCCTAAAAAGGTATCTGCGGGACGCAGTACCGACGCTTCGCTGCCGCGCAAGCACCATCAGTCGCACGTGGGCTAAGGATACTGCGAGAGTCACCCGGTTCCGCGTCCTTGGACTACGAGGCAGGTTTATGGTTCTTAAGGCTACTGGCCGGCCCTTCTGCCTAACAGGTATCTTGTTACCATTTATGACCAACTTATGAGAAAGGTGATCATAAGTTCATATTGATATCTTCCCAGTTGGTTCAGCGAACCTATTGCGTAGAGTATTCTGAAGTCGAAGGGTGCATGAAGTGGCAGTTTGATAATTTGCTCTAACTAGTTGGACTCACATAGTAGCTGCCGTGCTTACTTTGATGTGAATGATTCGGTCCATTTGCGACACTTTTTAAGATGGTGTAGACAGCGCAACCTGCTGCCATCAGCTTTAGAACACGAGTTACTACTTTTTTCTGTGCCCCTTAATGCGGTGTTCTTTGTTTAACACATTCCCGGTTATGTATTCCTCGTGTTGACTAACTCCGTGATGTAGATGGGGCTAGACAATTTTGCATCACGAGAATTTGGACTAAATGAATGAATCCACCAGCACATCTGAAAGTGGCTTCTAAAAAATAAAAATTGCTTACCGAATCGCTTTCTAATTTAAATTCACTTGCGTTGATGTCGGTTCAAAAAACCCGTTCCGCCATGTTCACAACCACTTATGCG